TGATCTGTCTTTGCCAGTGGTGCGTTTGTTTGGAAGCTGCTATTTTTGGCCTGTGAGCTTCTGAGTCTTTTGTAGGAGCAGAAAGAGGAAGTGAACAGTGAAATCCCTTTAATAGCATATTTCCTGGTTGAAGTGACTTATCTGTGAGGCCTAGACAGAGGCAACGTCATTTCCTGGATTACTTCTCTTCAGTCTGAACAGTCTGTTTTACTGTGTAATCTTTTGACCCAGCTTCTTAATTGTAGTGAATTTTTGTGTTAAGTAATGTAAACTAGGTCTTTCAATGAAAATGTAAAGCTTTAAGGAAACAACTTTTGACAAAATGCTAATGTGCAAGACAAGTCTTTCATAAACTACCTGTTGATATGAACTTATGAACGTAAAATTTTGTTCAAAAGCTTTTTTTTAAAAAAAAAAACCCACTTGTCTTTGAGGGAGTAGGATAATAAAGCTTGTTCACAGGGTTAAAAAAAAAATTGACACTTTCTGTTCCTTGTGGTGATGATACTAATCACCTCTCTTTGACACCACCTGTAGCTGGCTGTCTTCAAGAGTTAGGACACTTCCAAATAGTTAATAATAGTTAATAAGAGTCAGTTGCACTTTCTCAAATTACCATTCATTAATAGCTACTGGTGAAAATTGTTACCAGGAGTCCATGAAAAAGAAGCAGAAAGAGCTAATAAAAAAATTAGCAGTAAATATGGTTCTCAGTTTTTATAGCCCACAAAAAAGCTGTGGAATCAGAATGACACAGGCAAAAAAACAGTGACATCTGAAATTTTAATACACAGCTCTGTTTAAATTGGAAATTACAGTTGATTTGGATCTTGTAATCCAACTTCACACAAATTTTTGTTCAGGTTGATAACTTTATTCTTTTCCCTGACATTTTGCATAAGGTGGAAGTCAAGCACACTGTATATGAGTTTCTTGGTTGACCACTAAAATACCTTTGCATGAAAAGCATTAAAATATCAGGTGACTTCACTTCTCCAAAATACAAAGAACAGAAGTATGCCTGGCTGATTTGTGTTAGCACAGAGTGCTTTTACATCTCCCTTAAAATGTCTGCCCAGTTGTTAGTGATCATGAGAATATTGTGGCAGTGAAAGAAGAATGCTGGAGTTCGGTGGTGTGTGTAGACTGCCAGCACATTGGAATTGGTACTTTACTGAGCTAGGTAAAATCCTAAAAGGTGGCCCAGCTGTTCTCCATTGGGGCCTTCAGCACGGTCCTTCTCTACATTTTGCAAAATGAGGATCCGTATTTCTGCTGGCACACTGTGCTCCAGAATGAGATATCCTTTCTGGAAGGTGGTGCTTGCTAAATAAAGAGTACTATGGATTATGTTGTTTTGCAGAAAATCACCTGAAGTCAGTACTTTCCGTTGGATTTGTCTGGGTTATTGGGCAATACCTGCGCAGTTCATGAAGCGATTAATCCATAATTATTTAAAAACTTCGTTACTTTGATTTGGTTTTATTTTATCTTCTGTAAAAATGTTGTCAAAATTAAGAATAGGTAGTAAGTCTTCTGTCCCTCTGAAAGATGAGCATGATGTCCTGGTGCATCACTCCTTTATTTGTAATGAGTCTTGCAGGAACAGTTATGATCAAGCTGAAATAATTCTTATTATTATGAAAGCAACTACTGTGCCTTCTTTATTGATTTTATTGACTGGATTAGGAACTGGCTGGAGGGCCGGGCCCAGAGAGTGGTGGTGAACGGTGCTGCATCCAGTTGGCAGCTGGTCACTAGTGGTGTCTCCTAGGGATCAGTGTTGGGCCCAGTTCTGTTTAATATCTTTACTGATGATCTGGATGAGGGGATTGAGTCCACCATCAACAATTTGCAGATGACACTAAGTTGGGGGGAGTGTTGATCAACTGGAGGGCAGGAGGGCTCTGCAGAGGGACCTGGACAGACTGGAGAGTTGGGCTGATTCCAACAGGATGAGGTTCAACAAGGCCAAGTGCCGGGTCCTCCACTTTGGCCACAACAACCCCCTGCAGCACTACAGGCTGGGGACAGAATGGCTGGAGAGCAGCCAGGCAGAAAGGGACCTGGGAGTTTGGATTGACAGGAGGCTGAACATGAGCCAGCAGTGTGCCCAGGTGGCCAAGAAGGCCAAAGGCATCCTGGTCTGTATCAGGAGCAGTGTGGCCAGCAGGACCAGGGAAGCGATTCTTCCCCTGTACTCAGTGCTGGTGAGGCCACACCTGGAATGCTGTGTCCAGTTCTGGGCCCCTCATTTCAGGGAGGACACTGAGGTGCCGGAGCAGGTCCAGAGAAGAGCAACAAGGCTGGTGAAGGGACTCGAGCACAAGTCCCATGAGGAGAGGCTGAGGGAGCTGGGGTTGTTCAACCTGGAGAAGGGGAGGCTCAGGGGAGACCTCATCACTCTCTACAACTCCCTGGAAGGAGGTTGTAGCCAAGTGGGGCTTGGTCTCTTCTCCCAGCCAGCTATCAGTAAGATAAGAGGGCAGGGTCTTAAGCTCTGCCAGGGGAGGTTTAGGTTAGATATTAGGAAGAAATTTTTTACAGAGAAGGTAATCAGGCATTGGAATGGGCTGCCCAGGGAAGTGGTGGATTCTCTGTCCCTGGAGGTTTTTAAGGTGAGACTGGATGTGGCACTCAGTGCCATGGTCTGGTAACTACGGTGGTGTTGGATCAGCGGTTGGACTTGATGATCTCAGAGGTCCTTCCCAACCCAGCTGATTCTATGACTTCCCTTTTTGTTTATTAACACTGTTTTATGTTTCTTTCTGTTAGGAAATTTTAAAACTCTATGTGTAAGACATTCATAACACTTTATGTTACATAGATTCAAGAGTAAAATTCCACCTTTTTTCTGAGCAGCAGTGGAAATATTATCGGTGTTATATCACAGAATGTTTGCAGTTGGCAAGAACTTCTTGAGATCATCTAGTACAACACCCGTGCTCATTGCATGGTCAGCTAGAGTACGTTGACCGGGACCAGGTCCAGTCAGGTTTAGAGTATCTCCACTGGTGGGGACTCCACAACCTCTCTGGGCAATTTGTTCCAGTGCTTGACCACAGGAAAAAAGTTTAGTTTTCAGATAGAATTTCATGTGTTCTACCTTGTGTCCATTGTCTCTTGTCCTGTCAGTGAGCACTGCCTTCAGTCCCTCCCATCAGGTGCTTATACGCATTGATGAGCTCTCCTGCCCTGAGCATCTCAGCCATCTCAGGCTGATGAGTCCCAGCTCTCTGAGCCTTTCCTATTTTGAGAAGTGCTCCAGTGCTTTAATCTTCATGGCCCATTGCTGGACTTGCTCCAGTAAATCCTTGCTTTTTATGATTTGGAGAGCCCAGGGATGGATGCTGCACTCCAGGTGTGACCTCATCAGTACTGAGCAGAGAGGAAGGATCATCTGTTCACTACGACCATCAGGTCCTTCTTTGCAAAGCTGTTCTCCAGCTTCTCAGGCTGCAGCCTACACCTGGTGCCTGGGGTTATTCCTTCCCTCAAAGCAAGACTTGGCTTTTCCCCTTACTGAACTTTGTGTTAATCTTCTCTGTCCAGGGGTGCACAGCTGGTGGCTGGACTTTGTGCCACTGATCACAGTCTCCTGGGCCTAGTCTTTCAGACAGCTTTTAATCATTTGTCTAACCTGTACTTCGTCAGTGTGTCTCTGACACTTTGTAAGACGCTTTCATTTGTCAGGAGGTAAAAAGTAAATAAATAAATAAAATCTCTTAGTGTTGAGAATGATCTTAACCATTAGTGTATTTTGTGGTGCAAAGTGACATCTCCACAGAGGTAGTCTTATTTGTGTATATGTGTATTTAGGACAAAGTGGCATTCAAAATGTATTTAATAATCTTAGGCCTTGCCTTTGACTCTCTCCAGATATGTTTTTAGAATGAGTGATTTTAGTGATATTTTCAATAAATTATACCTTCTCAGATATTTTAAGAAAAAGGTATGAAATCAGCAGATTGTTAGCTATAGCCTCAGTTAAGAAGACTGAAAAACTATCTAGTTCTGTTGGCTGCCTATAATAAACATGATATGGTCTCTGACTTAAATCTCTGTGATGCCCTATCAAGGTTCAAAAACCTGAAGAAACAGTCTCAGAATTTTGTTCTTAGAGGAATGAATAGAACTGCCAGTTCAGGCTGAACACTGGAGTTGCTGACAATGAATGGTATCTGTGCCTCCTCTTACTATCTGAAACTAATTTTTAGTTTTGTTTGTCCATGTGTAACTGGAAAAGTGTTTGTGTTTTAGAGTAATTTTTTTTAAGTTTTCCCGACTTGCAGAAAGGTGGAATTGAGCTAAGTCTTGTAACAGGCATTTAAAATACTGTTCTTAGTTTAGATTTGGTGATCTCATCCCTTGCCATTTTCAGAGGTCTCAATTGTTTTCTGCTGAGGCACTGATAATGGGTAGCAGAATGGTATGTAGAGTTTTGGCTTGCCTTCTTTTGAGTCACTTAGAAAAAGTAATCTAGTCTTGTGAGCCTGAATTACGTGGTGAATTGTCTTCTTAAGTTTAGGTCACATCTTGCTTCTAAGAGAAATGAGCAGTTGGTTTTCAAATATCCAGAACAAGAAGGTAGACTGTGATCAGAGCAATAATATGGATAATACAAACATTTCCTGCAAATGTTTTTTGGCAGGAAATGTGTAACGAAATCCTTGTGAACGAAAATAGGAAAAATGGACTGACTGAACTCAGTATCTTAAATCAGTGTTTAATGAGTAAGATTAAAGCTACTATTCCAGTTTAAGTTCCAGTGCCACTAATCAGTGGTAATATAACTGTACTGTTTATAGAACTTGGAGCCAGTCAGTGTGTGTTAGCTCCTCTGCTGGTTTATAAACATACTTGAGAGCTTGTTTGATTTGCCTACTAGGAATGTAATGCATGCTTGAATAATATATAATCAGTCTCAGTGTAGTAGTTTTAGTGAAGTTGTTAATTAAGATTTTAGAACTCAATTAACTTGTTTTTATTTTTTTTTTCAGGACGGCTTGAATTCTTTGGTCCTTGATCTGGATTATCCAGCACTGAGGAAGAACAAGAACATTGATAATTTCTTAAATAGATGTAAGTTGCAAGTGGTCCTTGAACAATTACATAGTTGTGATCTCAGTCATAGGAAGCTGAGTGGTCAGAAATGCTTTACTGATGGTCATTGTACTGATTTTTATAACTCTGAGCTTCTATATTCAGAAGGCTTTGGAGGACTGTTTGTTACAGAAAGAAGTTTCATTTTGGGGAGTTATTATATTGCTGAAAATAATGTTGAAAAATACAAGCTGTAGATTTTTGTTTTCTTAAATACAGTTGGAAAAATCCTTTTATGTTATTTTTTTTTATCTTACGGATGTGTAGCTATATAATTTGCTAAGCATATCGCATATCCAAGTTATTATTCTTCAGGAATTCATTACACAAAATGTCAACATTGTTTATATAGTCATACTTGATCTAACCCACAGCCTTCTGTGGGTTTTTAAAACTAAAAACTAAAACTAAGGTTGTACCTTAAAATATGTTGGTGCATTTTTGCACCTTTGCATAGATGTGTGTGATTCTCCTCAAATTAATTGTAGACAGGATCTTGGAGTTCATTGAGCATATGGAAATGAAAGACTGTACATCAGAGTAGATGTATTTTGTCTTTTCAAAGTGATTTCTATCCATGTATATAAGCAGAATATTTTTCTTGTAAAAATAGTGGACCATTTGTTTAAAATGTAAGTTGCAGTGAGTAGGCCTTCTTGGAACAGCTATGCTTTGTGGGAGCTTATTTTGAGATCCATATTTTTTTAAAAAGCTTTTTCTTTTGCATAAGTTAAGGTTCCTGCAGATGCAGTCTTATCAGCAACTCGTTTTTAGAGTCTTTACTTGTAAGAGGTGTATTTCTGCTCTCTGTTGTCCTGGGACTCCTTGAAATATCCACTCGTGCTCCTCAGTTAAATGGTGGCCAGTGTAGTAATTTGTGGTGAGTTCTTTTGTTTGGAATTCAGTGCTTCTCTGTGAGGTTTGGCAGAGCCCTGTAGATGGACATACAGCTTTACAGTTGCCAATAAAGTCTCACTTGGAGAAATCACTTAAAATACAGTAAATAAGAAACAGCAGATTAGGAAGTAGAAGCATACTTTGGGATTATTCTCAGTTTGAGTTCAAAGGAATTCAAGCTGATATTTGTGAAAGAAAGGGTTTGAAACAGTATTTTAAGTATCTTTGTTACCTGCAACTAAGTGCTGTATGTGTAAAGTAAGGGAAAAACCCAGTGAAAATGACAGAAATAACATTTATCAGTAACTTCTATGAGCTGTTCAGATTCACTTTTACATTACTGTGGGAAAATAATTTAACCTTGTGAACAGGTTGGATTGGTTTGTTTGTTTGGTGTTTGTTTTGTGCAGCCCCTGAACATTCTTGCTGTCTGTCTGCCCTTTTTTGAAGGCTGTTGCTTCTTCTCCTCCTCTAGGTTCCCTCCAGTTGTTATTTTAAATATTATTAAGTATCTGATGTGGCCTACAGGCTACCAGCAATGGCAGAAACATGGAAATATACTTTCCTTCACAATTTTATTATTACCTTTTTTTGTTAAATGAGCTGACACTATACAATTGAAATAGCCAAATACTAATTAAAAAAATTCTGAGACATGTTACCAAGAAATTCATAGTAGTTTTCAAAGAGTTTTCAAAGGTGTACTTCATCCTCACCTGTTGAACTTCAAAAAAAAAGCATGTAAGACCGGACTATTTTGGCTCATAGATTGTGTGTCAGTGCATCTCTCTTAAGAATCACCCGTGTAACTTCTCTCAGGTTTCCATACTGCCTGGGAGAGAATGAAAAATAATGCTCCATATCTTCTGTGATTTACACTTAAAAAAATAATTCTGAAATGAGGGTCTGGTAAACATTTGAGGCTAGTAATCTATTGGCATTGCAGTGGAAAGAATCAGTCCTGGCAGTGATGTCTTTCAAAGTCCTTTCCAACGCAGGTGTTTGTGTGGTTTGTTATGTACCAGATTGGGGAACTGAGCAGAATTAAAGCAAAGAGTGGGGCGGTTTGTTTTTTCTTTTTGTTAAAACTAGTCGGGCAAAAGAAAAGCAGACCAGTTTCTGATTTTCATTTCACTTCACTGATACTTTGCCAGCACAAAACAAGCTGCTGGGGTGCAGGAAAAAATGGGGCAACAACTGGGTTCTTATTGGCTTTGCGATTTTATGCCATATGAAGTTGCTGAACCCATAGCTCATGTCTTCCTGGAAACTGTTCTGGGGGTAGCAAGGATCAGTGGAAAGAGCATTACACAGGCTTGCTGAAGCCTCTTGCTACCTTGGGCTTGGAAGAAGAGTTGGGAATTGTGTTAGGAATTTATGGAACTGTAAGTTGTTGCTCTCTTAGGTTAGGGAACAGTGAGTTCTTGTCGCTTGTGATTTTTCTCAGCATCTGATGAACTGTAGCAAATGCCTAGATGAGAACTGCTGTCAAAAGGTTCTGACAGACGCTGATGAGCAGTCTGTGCCAGGGGCCTGGAGCCTGCATCCTTCCTCAGGGCTTCCTGAAGGCAACCCCAGAGAGATGGCAGGGCCATCCCATGAGTTAGCAGTGGGGTGCACAGTAAAGCAGCTGAGGTGAAGTCATTGCGATTGTTTTAATCCGTATTGCACAAATCTTCAAAAGTTGTGGAGAATGCTAAATAATCATCACACTTTCGGTCAGTTTAATCACTTAATTCTTCCACAATAACACTTTGAGAAAGAATTTTTTTTTTTTCCTACCATATTCCCAGGGGTTTGTGTGCACTCTACTTCCAACCTACGTCAAGTCATTGCTATTAAGGTTAATGTTTTATTAATAGCTTAGTTTAGTTTAAAAATGAAATAGTTTGCACCTCAGCTGAGACATTAATTGATGTTCAGCTCAACTCATAGTTTCAAGCTGAAACTCGGATGTTTCAACTCATTTCACAAAGGCAGTTTATTAATTTCCCATACTATAGGAGTTTGATGTATCCTGTTTCTGTGACCACTTTGCTGAAGCAGCTTCTTCACTTGTTTAATATGCAAGAAATTCTTTCATTGCCTGCTTTCCCTTACTATTCTGATTTCTTACCACTTTCTCTGAGGTATTGACCTCAAGTGGAGCCTATATTTGTTGTAAGAGGCACATTAAGCATCTCATATAATACAACCCTTCCTTTTCAGTCTTTTATGTTGTTTTAATCAACTGTTGGGATTCTGGTTAAATTGCTGTGTTCTTTTAGAGTATTCATGGAAGGGAAAGCATAACGCAATATTTAATTCCTGAGACAATGAGAGGAATCTCATAGTCCTCTGAGAGCAAAAACTACTTTGCTTGTTTTAGAAAAGAAGGGTGAGTTTTCCAGCATGGGCTTGGTGTAACAAATCTTTCTTGGTGTTTTCTTTTCCTCTTCTATTCATCTAGACCAAGACAATAGGGTTGAGTAAATTCTTCTAAGTCATTTTTTCTGTCATCTGAGATTTACCAAGTGTTGAATCATGTCTTGGTGGCTTGTGCCTTTTTTGGTGGTCTCCCTTTCAGGTGCTACTTAGCCTATTGGCTGCTATAACTTCTGGGAGCAGAAAGTTAAATAATTAAATAACAGATTTAAGCAACAGTTGAAAATATTTGATCATTTATAATCTTATCATCAGGAATAGAAGGGCACAAAGAATGGATTTTGAGTAATCCAAGCAGCAGTGCAGGGAGTGGTGCCATCAACAGGCCTGGTACAATCCAGAAGTCTTGACTCCCTCAGTGGATCAGTGATTTCCTGTGCATTATCCAGCATCACTCAAGAACTAGAAACCTGTGTTGTTGAAATGATTTGCTGATATTTTGTAGGTTGGCAGACTTGCAGAGTGTAATGGCAATGGACGTATTTACAGTAGAAGGAACTTTTAGTGCAGATGTGACATTTGTGCAGCAGCTTTGCTGACCCCCTGAATAAACTTCCTAGAAAGTTGCTTTGGCCATTTTCCTCTCCAAGCAGACACTGCTTACTTGGAAGTTTTATCTGCTAAGGGTAATTTTTTGCAAAATTAACAGTCCTGGTTCCTTTGCTTGCATTTCGTTGTGTCACTTGAAGCTGCTGAATCATGTGCCAACCGTGCAGCCACCAACAGAAATGTGTTATCTGGTGTGGTGTGAGTGCCTGCCATGGCTGTAGCTCTTTGTGCTCCCTGCTTCCTGCCAGCCACACTGATGAAGTGTCATATGCCAAGAAGACTCTTAGAAATGTAGTGCACAGCAGAACTCACATTGAGTTAAGGAGCTAATCACTACTCTGGTTTTCTCTTGGCTTCTCTTAGAGCACTCCTTGCCAGGTCTTTGCTGTTGCCTCAGCAGGTTGGACTCCAGTTCTGTTCTTAATGACATTGTTCTAGTAAGAGTAGGGATGGGAGACGTACCAAATAAACAACTTTCCCAAGCAGAGCACGGAAGCCATAGTGTTTAACACAGAATGTCTCAGATGTATAAACAAGTTATATGTCAGTGTTATTAACCACTTTTCCATTTAGGTACTCAGTAGATACAAAGCAATTCAGTCCTGCCATCAGGCTTATTTTCATTAAGGAATCTGTTCTCTGCAGGCTAGAGGGCTGCTGCTTTCTGTTTCCCTGTCTTCTGCTCTTTTTGTCTGTGCAAGTCAAAATACTTCTTGTGTCCACCTCTCTTTTCTCTGGGGGGTGGAAGCACTACCCCGTCTGAAGCTGTGCCTTCTAGGTTCTGCTGCTTCTACAAGGTCTGCAACAGCTTCCTATTCTTCACACACCTTTGACCAGATATTATGTATGCACACCTAATGACTTCAGTCTTTCTGTTGTGCTTTCTGTTTGGTTTTGGTTGGGTGTGGGATTGCAGCACTTCCTGGCTGTACTTCAGTTTAACTTCTGGCTGGACTTGTGCCTAGGGCAGTAGCTTTTGACTTAACGTGCTCCACAGCAGCACTCACTGACTGACTGTGCCTGACCTTTGGGGTAAAATTGCATCCCCTTGCATTTTTATTCATCATATATACACAGCCCAGGACTGCTTGATACACATTCTTTTATTT